GGGGGGGCGGTGGAGGGTTTCCACGCTCAGGGAGAGCAGCCCAAATCCGGGCTCTTTCTTATTTGAAGTTATTTCTCAGTCTTGCCCACCCAGGGACCCTGCTTCTGGAGGGCGGGGTCGGGCGTGTGTCCAGGCACTACTTGGGTATCTCAGCACACGGAATTCTTTCTAGGAGAGAATTTAAATAAAAAAAAAGGTTGTATGCCCAAAAAAAATTAAAAAAAAAGAAATCACCTGCCCTCTTTGTCTGCATGTATTCATGTTTGTCTTCTGTTTCTTTTTTTTTCTTTTTTTTCCTTTGTCTGTGTGGTCATCAGGTCACGTCAGTATCTTTCAGCCCGTGCGGTGTATATTTCCAGGCGTCATGCAGCTCGAACTTCGCTCTCATATTTGACATGCGAATGATGCCGTTGAATCCTGATCCGCAATGGAATCCGCTCGGCCGTCCTATGATTCCGGCTACTCAAGCTCAGCGCCATCTGAGGCCCCTGCACTGTTTGAGCCATGGAAAACCTATGCCCACTGTGCAGAACGCCGGCCAGATGCCAGGGTGTGTTCTTTTTGTCTCTTTTGCACCTCTTCTTTTTTTTCCTTTTTTTTTTATGTGGACCATTTCTCGATTCATGTGTCATCCTTGTGCAGGGCCCATGCTAATCGTTGCAATTTTAAGTATTAACAGATGTCGTGGAGCACTTTGGGCAGAACTGTGAATCTCCATCACGCAGTAATGAATGATCAGCATACCATAAATGATCGCATCGTCCTCCAATACACCCTCTTAAACCGCCAGTTCACGTGAAGAAGAGCACTGCTCTTGCCGGATTACGTGGCAAAAGCATTTCAATTCCGGCCTGGAACCGGAATTGGGGGGGGGGGGGGGAAATCCGGCCTGGGACGGTAGCGAAAGCGGCACGCCCCTTTCAAAAGCCGCAGTTGCAGGTTCGCGAGCCTTGGACGGCCGAAGCACCAGCGTGACCATTTTTCTTACTTTTGGCTGGCACCGCCAGCCATTTTGGTCGGGTCCGGTCACGCCCGACCACCAGAGAATTGAGTATAGGACCTATAGATTATATTAAATAGATTTTGCGTTGAGCCGTCCACTCCAGAAGGTAGTGGTCGTTGAAACCACACCACTCTACCCGACGTTGGAAAGTCAGGGGACCGGCAGCACAGGTTCATGAGGACTGCCGGTAGCATTAGTGTGGAGTGGCAAAAATGGAAAATCCGACGAATTGCCGCCACCATTTATATTGATATAAAGCCTAGTACATCTTTGGAATATTTTTCTCTTTTTCAACACTCAAGACACACGCCCCATCTATTCTGGGGGGCACCAATCCGTTTGCTGTTCACCGGCGAGCAAAGAGTTTGGACTTGACAAAAGGGAGAAAAAGAACAGGCGAGTTATTGATGTGTAATATGTACCACTGTTGGCTCAGTACTAGACCAAAGAGTAGAAACAACAAGGCTTCGATCACATACGGAGAAAGTGATATCTCTTGACGAAGAAAGACACCAGCTTGCCGCCTCCAATCAATAATAACAACAGTAAGAGTAGCAGCAGTTGGTCATGCCAGCCACCACCACCGTGTGATCCTCCTCTACTCTTGCCTAGACTCCAATTCCCGCTGTGGAACAGTGCCACTCCGCTCAATTCTGCCCCGACCAATGACTGCACGAAGAATATAGAATGCTGAACCTGTCTTGGCATTCACCTGTTATGTCCTCTTTCCCTCCCTCCCTCTCTCTCTCTCTCTCTCTCTCTCTCTCTCTCTCTCTCTCTCTCTCTCTCTCTCTCTCTCTCTCTCTCTCTCTCTCTCTCTC